CGCTATTCAAAAAAAAGTTCTCGACAAATATGAAGAGAAGCGATATTACTCATCAAAGCATTTGAATTTAATTGCATTCTTTAAAATTCTCCAACTGCAGATTGCTGCAGAGAATACCAGGGATCCACCGTGGGGCAAAGGTTGTGATGTTTTTAAATAAACAGCTCTAGGCACCTCTTGCTTTTAGTCTGCATTTCTAGTCTCTGGCCATTTTCATTTCTTTCCCTTTCACTTGGGAGAGTTTTTTCAAAATGTTTTCAAATGAGTTGCATTAATAAGAGCCCTATGGTGTCCTGATTTTCTTCCTTTCCGCAACCTCTGCAATATGAAGAGTTGATCACCAGATCACTGATATTCAGAGGTCTCCTGCTGTCTTTATTCAATTAAGTGAATGCTGTGTTGGATACAGGTTCCTCACACCTCTCCAGAGGGCATGTTTTGTAAGACAAGGAACAAGGCAATTTTCTGCTATTGAAGTAAAGAACTGTGATGATAGAATCTTAGCAGCATCTAGAGTTGAAAGGACAAAGAATATTTACTGAGATTATGACATTTGTCTGAAGATATTTCACAGGATATCTGAAGATATCTGAAGAACAAGGAAGAGACTTCATTAGAGTTAGATAAGAATCCCAATATTACAAGTTTAGGATTGATGGACCCAAAAGGGCAAAGAATTTGAGATCAGGGTTCAGTCTTAGGATATGTAAATACATTTTCCTTTTATTTTTATTTATTTATTTTTTTTAAAGAGGTGATGGATCTTTCAGGAAGGTCCTGGAATAAGTAGTAAGATTATTTGTTATTAAAATATTATTTCAAGCATAGTGATTTACAATACTGTTATTGGTAAGATTTCCTGTGTACATTGTTTCTACACCACGCCCTCCACCAGACTACCTGCCTCCTTTTACTGCTATTATTTTGTTTAGTCACTGTTCTTTGGAGCGATAGCACAGCGGTAGGGCGTTTGCCTTGCACTCAGCCAACATGGCCGACCCGAGTTCGATTCCTCCGCCCCTCTCGGAGAGCCCGGCAAGCTACGGAGAGTATCTCGCCTGCACGGCAGAGCCTGGAAAGCTACACATGACGGATTCGATATGCCAGACACCGTAACAACAAAGTCTCTAATGGAGACGTTACTGGGCCCGCTCGAGCAAATCGATGATCAACGGAAGGGCCTTTACTTACTTTACTTACTGTTCTTTACAACTTTGCAGTACTGCCAACTTTACAGGGTTTCAGGCATGGCATTCACCCTGCCACTGTGTCCTTTTCCCTTCACCATTGTCCCTGGATCTTCTCCCAGTCCCCACCTCTGACCCCAAAGTTTCACACAATTCTGAGCTCCACTCAACAGAACAGCCTAGTTCTTAGAGTCTGTTACGTTTTGACATTTGTTATTCCCATACTATATTTCTTTCTATCTCACATATGAGAGAGATCTTTCTGTTTCTGTTTCTCTTTTTCCTGGCTGACTTCATTGGCATGAGACCCTCCAGTTTCGTCCATGTAGTAGCAAAGTACATGATTTTGTCTTTCTCATAGCCAAGTAGTATTCCTTTCTGTATATATAACCATAGTTTGTTTAGTCACCTGTTCTTGGATACTTGTAATATTTCCAAAATGGGCTCTTAAGAACAGTGCTGCTATTAACCCCGGAGTGCAACTGTCTTTTTCTAAATAGAGTTTTTGAGTCCTTGGGATAGAGGCCAAAAACTAAGATAGCTGGGTCATGTGAAAACTCAGTTCTCAAAAAAAATGTTTTTTGAGCTGTGTCCAGATTATTTTGCAAAGAAGTTGAATCAGTAAACCTTCCTACCAGCATTGAATGAGAGTTCCTTTTCTCCTATCCACACCAATGCTGATTGTTTTCATTCTCTTGAAGTGCACCAGTCTCACTGTGAGGTGATATCTCATTATTGTTTTGACTTGCCTTTCCCTGATGAACAGTGTTGCAGAGCATTTTTTTTCATATACTTACTGGCAATTTTTGTCTTCTTTGAGGAAGTTTCCATTCATCTCACTTTTTGATGTGGTTGATTTTTTATTGTTAAGTTTTAACAGTGCCTTATATATCTTGGCTATTAATCCTTCTGTTGGATAAATGGTGGGAAAATCTTTCCTCTCAGTCTGTGGGTTGTTTTTTCATTCTGGACATATTTGTCATTCTTGTCTTCCTGAGCCAGGTTTTTGGACCATATGTTGTGTCAATAAAAACAGTAGTATTGTAGTTTGATGGCATTCACTCTAAGTCTCTCTACTTTATTATATTGTCTCATGGGTCTTATCTGCTCTTTAACTCAAGGACAGTTTTCCAGTCTGAGCTGGAAAAGGACAGTGAGACAAGAGCCTTGAACATGGAATTGAAGGGGCAAACTCTTCCTTGGGTGGTGTCCATGTGACCCTGGAATCCTGGAAATTATAGAACAGGGGAGAAGTGGATAGAAATGAACATCTGTGATGCTTACCACATATCTTGAGCTTATTATTTGCTCAAGAACCATTATATCATTCTTGAGAGTCTGTTGAGTATGTTAAAGCAGACAGTAGATTCTAGAGATTGATTGTATGGATTCCAATCTGAGATAGAATAGGTAGATATTTTACCTTAGGCAGTCAGCTAATCTCCCTTGTATTAGTTCCCCCAACTGTAAAGTGGCCATAATGATAGATAGCACCTGCCTTGGTGGCTAGAAAAGATTATTTATTTTCATAGTCCATCATACAATATAGAATTAATTTGCTCGGTAGAAGTCACAAAAGAATGTTATTCTCTTCTTTTAAATGATGAAATGGACATGCAAAATGAACTTAGGTCAGGTACACAGCTTGTGATACTGGGATAAGCCCAGGTACTCACCAGTATCTTATGGTAGTAAGCTTTCTCTGTCCCAGTATGATTCAAGGCAGTTTATTCCATTGATTTTCCCATCAGTCTGTCCATCTGTCCATCCATCCATCCATGTATACATCCATCTGTCCATCTATATTGTTAAGTTATCTTCTCCCAAGTTACTACAACTTTAAGCAGCACCAAAGGATTCTGATTGCCAAGAGACAGACCATTATACCTCAATTTGAATGTTTTGTTAGCCCTTTATTTACCCAATGTCAGTAGCAAATACAAGAGCAGCTTCCAGTCTTCTCCAGTGCCATGATCAGGGGTTGAATATGCCTGACTATCCTCACTCCATGCCTTTGCATTTGCCGTTCCTTATCACCTGCATGACTCTTCAAGAACTCCTCCTGCAGGACACATTTCAGACCTCTCCATTTCCCTACAGTTGCTGCCTCCTCTGTTCCTCTCTCTCATCTCTACTTTCTTCCCTCTCTCGTTACATTATCATTATTAAATATGCAAATGTTCACTTTATTTTTATATGTCAGCCCAAATAGAATATGAATGATGTGAGGGCAAGGGGTCTTACACCCCAGTGTTATGTGAGGACTTCGTAAATAATTCTGAGATACATAAACATACATGGTAGATTAAAATGGTAAGAATTTTCCCTACTGAAGGCTGAGGATGTTTTTGTATTGTCTTTACATTTTCATGTAATTGTAATGCTCTTAAAGGACATGCTATTGCTTTACATTGTAGCACTCATAGCACTCTGTAGGGAATTCTTGTTCCAATATCCAAGGGATGGACACAAAGCTCTGGAAACCCCTCTGGGAACACTAGCTCCCATTTACTAACAGAGGCCAGGAACTTTTTTTTTTCCCTTTATTTTATTTTATTTTTTTTTACAGTTGTAGCTTTACAATTTTTTGTGCTTTGGTTTCAATTATACAATGATCAGATACCCATCCCTCCACCAGTGCCCATTTTCCACCACCATGGATAATATCCCTCCCCCCCCATCCCCCCCATCCCCCCCTGCCACTGTGGCAGGGCATTCCCTTTTGTTCTCTCTCTCCTTTTGGGTGTTGTGGTCTGCAAAAGAGGCATTGAGTGGCAAACATGTTCAGTCCATAGTCTACTTTCGACATGCATCCCCCCTCCTGGGAGGATCCTCCCAACATCCTTTATTTGGTGCTCCCGTCTCTATCTGAACTGCCCTTTCCTCTAGGATACCCGGCTGGAGGCCAGGAACTTTTAAAGTGCCACTGTCACTGTCACTGTCCTCCTGTTGTTCATCGATTTGCTTGAGCAGGCCCAGTAACATTGTGAGACTTGTTACTGTGTTTGGCATATTGAATACGTCACGGATAGCTTACCAGGCTCTGCTGGGCAGGCGAGATACTCTTGGTAGCTTGCCAGGCTCTCTAAGAGGAGTGGAGGATGCGAACTCGGGTCAGCCATGTTGACTGTGTGCAAGGCAAACGCCCTACCCACTCTGCTATCTCTCCAGCCCTAAAGTGCCACATAAAACCCAAAGTGTAAGAAAATCCTGATTTCGCGCACAATGAGCTACAGTCTTAGAATGTCAGCAGGTTATATGTACTAACATCTATGAATTACTACATAATGTTACAAGTAGTAATATATGTTTAAAACATAACTTTAAAAATGGCGCTTAGACTTCTGACCTGAATTGGCATAATCCTTACTTTATTGTCTTTGTGGCCAAAACCTTGATTTATTTATATGGTAAGCCTGTATCCATCAGATCCATGCAAACCAGACTCATTTCGATTTTTAAGAGATATTGCCTCTCATCAATTCTGCTGCCCTGAAATGTGGTCAAGCTGCTGTCACTCATTCCTTTGGACTTGTATTCTGAGGTGTGGCCCATACTTGAATGATTTTTGTCCTAGAACTTTGAATTCCCCTGTGTTCTTCTTTCCTCTGGAGATCTCTTCTGTGGTTTCTATTTAGTCCCAGTTTTTCAGAGTAGATGTGGTATAAAAAAAAAGGCCTTTTGTGTATGTTCTGCATTAGTGGTAGAGATGTAGCTCTCCTTCCCAGAGCTGAAACCCCCTGCTTCTGACATCTCACGGATACACATACCTCTTAGATGTGCTTTTCATTTTGAATTCATCTCTTTCCACAGTTTAACCACACAGGACAAGGAAGTATCTGCAGCCAGGCCATCATGCTCATCACTGATGGGGCTGTGGACACCTATGACACCATCTTTGCAAAGTACAATTGGCCAGATCGAAAGGTAAGTTCCTACTGATGATTGTTATACTATATAATATAATATCTCGTTATAGCATCTTGTATTGTGTTCTCCAAACTATCCTCAGATCAGTACCTCAGTACCCATGGAGATAGAACCTCATAGCAACCTATGGTTTCTCTGCCTTGTGTATTTTTTATTGATCCAAACGGAATATTGTGGCTTTTCTTATTTCAATAAGGAAACTTTTCTATTATTTTTGGGGGTCACCCACCCAGAGATGCTCAGGGGTTACTCTTGGCTCTGCATTCTGCACTGATTCCTGATGGTGTTAAGGGGACCCTAGGGAATGCTGAGGATTGAATCCAGGTCAGCCACATGCAGGGCAAGTGCCCTAACTTCTGTACTGCTGCTCATGCCCAAAGAAACTTTTCTGACAATGAAAAGAAACACATAACCTATGTTCTACACAATCAGGATAAAGATTCATTGTTAAGCACGCCTCTTCCACATCGGGAATCCCTTTTATTTGTTTTTTATTTCACTGCAGCCCGATATACTCAGCAGATGTATGATCTAGAATAGTCCGGTCTACTCTAGTGGTCTGGCCACCATCTCCTTTTAATTTTTTGTGCTTCTATTCATTCTTCCTGGGTTCTCTTTACTACCCAGAACTTCTCTCTATTCATCGGTTATATTGTTGTCAAATTATATTCTCTATCTAAATTATTTATTTGCTTTCCCGGTTGACATTTATTTACATGATGCACCCATGTATAAGGGTATTAATGGCAGCTATTACAATTTTTGGTATCTTTTGGGATTCTAGCCCAGATACTCCTTTAGCTATTAACCAGTTTGAAATCCCAAGGGAGAGCTTTGAACTTATGGATATGGATACCTAGAACATGCTTCATACCACCAAAATCAAAATCACTAAGGACGTGATCCTGCCATCACAATTTTAAATTATTATTTGAGTGGATTTATCACCAATCAGCAAATCAGAAGTTGATAATCTGTGTCATATCAATGGCATAATTTTAACTATGGAGAAAAAGGTTACTCAGAGGGAGTAGTGTCTTGAGGGATGGAAAAAGAGCTTTCTTTTCCCAGGTGTCAATGACACAATTTCTAAAGGTACATGATACTGTTTAGCTAAGTCCATTCTTATTTTTCTGCTTTATACATTTAATTTATGGGAACCAAACAAACTGTGCTTAGCAAAAGGAAATACAAGACAGTGACAACTGTACCTGGAATTGTACTCAGGGAGCATGCCCTTCGCTAGGAGCAGGAGGTGCTGTTTTATATTCTCTTAGTTATTCTTTGTTTTTTTTTTCTTTTTTTATTAGTGAAAAACCATGAGGTACAGTTATAGGCTTACAAATTTTGTGCTTGGGTTTCAGTTATACAATGATCAAGTGCCCATCCCTCCACCAGTGCCCGTCATCCATCCCCATGGGTCCCAGCATCCCCCCCTCCTCATCCCCCCCCCCCGTCCCATCCTGCCTCTGTGGCAGGGTATTCCCCCTTGTTCTCTCTCTCTTCTTTTGGGTACTGTGTTTTGCATCTCTTAGTTATTCTTTGACCCCTTGTATTAAATATATGTTAAATTCTAATATCATGGAGTATGAGTCTGAGGCTCAGAGATACATACATTTTATACAATTAGTTTCCGGATAGGAGCAAAATTCTTCCTCTGGTGCATAGCCTTAGATTTGTTATTACCTTTGAAGATAAGGGCAAAAAACTAAATATGCTGGGCTTACTGACAGAATGTGGGATTCAGACATGGCTTCCAGCTAAGTAACATTTAGGAAGAAATTTCACAGCATGCAACTCCCCTAAAAAATGCAACTCCCTTTAGCACTGACTGAAGTATTGAACCCTCTGAATAAGATGAGGTTTGCTCTTGGACCAAATATTTCTGGATGCGCGTGGTATTTTGAATAACAACTTACAGGGGCAGGTAGAGTCTAGTATTTGTCTTCTAACAGTGGGTGAGGTGAAGGTAGGAGAACTGTAGATACACTCCCACTTCGACAACACATAGTACAGTTCAGGGCTTATGGTTGGTAGGCATGCATGTATGACCCAAAGTTGCCTGCTGAGGGGACTGGGAAAGAGGCCATGGTACTAGAAAACACGAGTAGGAACTTGAATATTTTGTGGTTAAGTAGAATATTAGTAAATGCCATAGGACCTAAGAGCTTGTGGAATAAGCATCTCAAATAAAATCAGTAAAGCTGCTCCATTAGCACCACATATGTTATTGTGTGAGTCATACATGTTATAGAAAATGAATCCATTTAGCTTAGTATACATAAGGGATTGGAATCTTGGTGGAATCTACCACCCAATGGCTAGAAGATACCCAGGAAAACTAGTATGGAAATATATTACCCTTGTTGACAGGGAGAGGCATTGAATGAACACAGCAAAGACATTATTCTCCAGACAAAACACAGATTTCAGCACGTCTTTCTGAAGAAACAGTATTGACTTTAGACCAGATGCTTTCCTGCATTAGTTAGATACTGGAAATTTCAGTGTCATATAAAGTGTTTTCATCTACTTATAAAAGTATTTTTAATAAAGAGCCAATTTTCTTTCTAGATTAAAAATGGGCCTATTTCTATGAACAAAGATTGATAGTAGATTCCTTTCCTTCCCATCCCATATCATTCAATTTAATTTTATGAGATTCATCTACATATACATAAACATTCAGCTTATTAACTTTTCTGGGAAGAAGTAGGTAAAACATTTACCTAAGACTCCAATTTGATTTACCATTGTGTCAACATGAAATGATATAAGATGTATAAGCAGACCAAACTTTGCTCAGAACTACATCGTTTTGAACCTTACATATTTAGGAAACAGTTGTTGCTGTAGTTGGCCACCTTTAGGTCTTTAGAAATATAAATAGGATATAAGAAGTAAAGATGATCTTGAGAACTTGATTCCCATAAGAAAAGGGATATCTTCTTAGTTTTGAGCAATTGTGATAATTCTATGAAAGGTTTATTCCAACACAGGGTACTTGTCCTGTGTGGCCCCAGAGTTTCTGGGAATTGGTAAATATGGTGGGGACCTTGGTAAAGGCAGGTAAAGGCCCTCCCGTTGATCGTCGATTTGCTCGAGCGGGCCCAGTAACGTCTCCATCGGAGACTTTGTTGTTACTGTGTTTGGCATATCGAATACTCTCGGTAGCTTGCCGGGCTCTCCGAGAGGGGCTGAGGAATCGAACTCGGGTCGGCCATGTTGGCCGCTTGTAAGGCGAACACCCTACCACTGTGCTATCGCTCCAGCCCCCTTGAGAAGGTACATTTTATACAAGTTCCCAGGTGGTGTAGCTACTATTGGTGGAGGAACCACAATGGAAAACTATTCCTGGGAAAAAAATCACCTATGGCTAGGGTTTGGCTGCCCCAAAAGCTTTGCTATTTCTGTATGTCCTCTGTTTCCTTTAACACCCAAATCTACTCAAAAGAGAAACCCATACATGTCTTCCTTCCTTTCCTCCCTCCCTCCCTTCCTTCCCTCTCCTCCTCCCTTCCTTCCCTCCCCTCCTCCCTTCCCTCCTCCACCTTCCTTCTCTCCCCTTCTTTCCTTCCCTTCTTTTCCTCCCTCCCTTCCTCCCTCCCTCCCTCCTTCCCTCCCTCCCCCTTTCTCTCCTCCTCTCCCTCCTGTTATTTTGGATCAAAAGTCGAGGTTCTCAGGGTTTACTCATGCATCTGTGTTCAGGAATCACTCCTGGAAGCTATTGGGGTGTGGTACAAGGGATCAAACCCAGATCCTATGTAGTATATGGAATCAAGCCTAGGTCAGCAGCAATGCAAGGCAAGTGTCCTTCCTGCTGCACTGTCACTGATTTCAGGTATCTGTTTCTATGCCTATAATTTGTTTATACATTTACTGGATACTGACTCTCATTAAAAAATCTAGAGACCATATAAAAATTTTAAGTTTTGGTTTCTCTCATAAAAGGGAACTCTTTGGAGTCCTCATTCCCAATTGACCAAAAAGAACTGGAGCTAAATGACTGCATGAGGTGACTTTGATGGCAAATTCGTGCTCCTTTGGACCATGACCCTAACTACTCTTATTCATTTCCTCTCAGCCAACTTCACTCATGTTCTTTTCATACTTATGTGTATTGGGCTTCAGAACACTGCTCAGATTAACTGAATTTACTGTTTTATCAAGCCTCTGTGCATCTGCTCTTTTTCTTTGGGGTCTGTTTAAGCTTTTCTTCTCTTCCAGCCAGAGGTCACCTGAGCCCTAAACTTCAAACTCCTTCACAAATGTCAGATGAATAATATAACTTCCATGTCTAGACTATCATTACTTAAGGGTCTGTCTTTCCTCTTCATGGGTTTAGTGAGTCCATGAGAGCATGTATTCCCTTCTAAACCAATCCCTAAGGCTGGGGCAGTCTGAGGTCTGTGACTATTGGAAGTAACTGTGAGACATGAAATTGAGGGAAGCCTCCAGGACTTGAGGGTTGCCTCCAGAAACATCCAGAAAAACTACTGGACCTCAGTTTTACTCTCTCAAAGGGATGATTCTGCAACAATAAGAATGAGCTTGAAGTAGACCTTTCCCAGTCAGGCCTTCAGATGAAAGCATATCCCCATGAGCACTTTGATTACAGCCTTGTGAGGCCACCAAGATGAGATCTGGCTCAGCTGTGCAGATTCCTGGACACTCTGATATAATAAATGGGTGCTGATTTAAGGTAATACGGATATGTAAACTTATTCTGTGGCAAAGAAAAACTAATGACAATAGAAGAAGAAAGGAAAGAAAATCACTTTCATGGAAAAGTGATAAAATATCCCAAACCTACTGACCTAATATAATAACGAATTGGATCTGGAGCAATAGTATAGTGGAAGAGGCACTAGCCTTGCACTCAGATGACCTAGATTTGATCCCCGGTATCTTATATGACCCCCAAGGTACTTCCAGGAGTGATCCCTGAGTACAGAGCCAGGAGTAAGCCCGGAGTACTGCCAGATGTGGCCCCAAAC